AACGTAAAATACTATGTATTTATGGCATATATACCATATATATATATATATATATATAAATATATATACCATATACACCATATATACCATATATATATGTGAATATATATACCATATATACAACATATATACCATGTTAATATAGCATATATACCATATATATACCATATATATATGTATGTATATATGCATATACGACGAGATCTCTAATAATACGTTCTTGTTGGGGGCGAGGGGAGGGGGGGTGTTGTTGCATATCAGATTTTTATATTTTTAGAGATCCTGATAGATTTTCAATGTTTAATAAATTGCATTAAATTAAATTATTTTCATATAAATTTTTTTTCTTAGCTTTTAGGCACATAAGCATGTATACATATATGCATACCGTTCGGGTCTATTTTTTAAGGTGGTGGTCATACACTTTTTTTTTTCTCATTACTTGATTTCATCTAATTTGAATCAAGTTTTAAGTACAACTACGTGTACATATTAGGCGGTTGGAAATTTTGTTACGTTATCTCTTCTTTACTTGTGGTACAGGGTATATTAACTTTGTACAGGCGTATATAACACGCAGTTAGGATAGATAGAATATACTTACTTTTCATTACACCGATCCATTAAGAATCATTTTCTGAATTAATCTAAACCTATCTATCCGTCTGTCCGTCTGATCTCTGTCCATATAAGTTCGCTTTCAAGCTGCATGTCGCAATTTTTGATAAATTTTGATAACATTTGGACACTGGCTCAACGACGAGCGCTATTGAAAATGGTTTGGATCGATCCATTTTTTCGACCACTCCTCATTTAGCGCCCTATTTTAAAAAGTTGTTATATGCAAAAAATTGCAATGTAGTATTCTAAATTGAAGACTTTGGATCGGCTGGGTAATTTTTTGAATTCTCTCTCTAACATAACGAAGACCGAAGTTCATATGACTAAAAGGTCTAATTTTCGTTGCTTCATGATGAAAATCAGATCATAGATTTAATTTACTTTAATATAAGAAAAATTAACTCTACCAAATGTGGATCATCTCGGTCTATCTTTTGAATCCTACTCTATACAGGGATTTTCACGAAAATTGATCCGTCATAGGGCAGAAAAGTTTAAATTTTAATATTTTATAATGAAAACTGATCCATACTAGTAGGTCGATAGAAAAATTAACTGCGCTTAATTTTGAATATGTACGTTTTGAATCTCTGGGGCACAACCATTCTTACGGAAAGTAAGAATTAATACGCAAAGAGATCTAATTTTTCATTCGTTTTAATAAAAAAAAGATGTTCTTGTAATCTTAAGGGATACATAATAAAATTGGTTTACCGGATTACAGTTTCTAGAACTCTAAAATCGCAATCGTTTGATAAAATAAAGATTTGTGATACATGACAACAAAGACAATACATTGTCACTGGACTGAAAATTTTTCATCCGCATTAAGGCCAACTTTATCTGTCTCAATTTTCGCTTATGCACATATCACTATAAGCTATAATGCGCTTCTAGGTTTTCATATTATATAAGGTTTTCATATTATGTATGCTTCAAACACTTAGGTTCTACTCTTTGTGATCCCCTGCATTGTAAATTTTCACATAAAATATACATGCAAATGCCTCGATTCAATATGCACATATATATATATATATATATATATATCGACGTATACATTTTTATAAGAGAAAAAGATTGCACGAAGGCAATCAACATCTTCGAATCTATTGGGCGAGAGATCTCCACATGGGCAAACTCGTCAGGGGCTAAAACTTCTATACAAAAATCAAAAAAAAAGGCACATATGTCGAAAGTAGATATCCAGAATTCTACTGATGCATATTAATGGTTGACCAGTACAAAACGTGCAGACGCTCCATATTCCAACAAATATCGTCGGAAAACACACTGTGTTCCGTTAAATAATTCTATTTTAACAAAGGTGAATTTCATACAGTACGTCACTTGGAAAAGACATGCGCACATTAACACTATTGCTTATCTTACCAAAATGCTTATTTTAAGCAAGATTGATAGTGGTTTGATAATTTATGGCAGTAGCTGCAAATCTAATATCAACATCCTCAAACCGATCAATCACCAACCCCTTAGGGCAAATTGTTATGCTTTTCGGACGACGCCCATAAATAATATTATAATTGAAACTGGTCTCCCAGCTTTAGAAAATAGATTTTATGAGTTAAAAGCAAAAATAGCCCCCGAGCTTCTTAATTCAAACAAATCTATTCTCGGTGAAGACGTGGGAAAGATTATTATTGCCAAGAAAATTCGAAAGTCACCATCCGTAATTGACTATTGTTTGTGTGTCACAAAGAAGATGGACATTTTCTTAAAAAATTTTCGGGGTTTTTTTTTTAAACATCCATGGGTTTTGAAAGCCTGTTATTTTGACATTACGCTGTCTATGCACAAGAAAGAAGATACTCCAAATTACGTCTTCAGGAATCTAATAGTTCAAAAACCCCAAGTATTGGAGAGTAACGGTTGGAATCTTTTATACACAGATGGCTTAAAATCTTCTGGTCTGCCACCTGCTTGTGCCGTGGTCGATTCTTCAGGATAGGTTCTTCTCGGCTACATATTTCACGAAAGTATTTCAACTTTCACAACCTAAACGGAATCCTTCGATTTCGAAATGGAGCACCATGAACAAATTAAGGAATATCATTACAACATCCGGCGAAAAAATTTAAATTTTATGGGTACCTAGTCATAGGGTACCTAGTCAAAGTTGGATCTTCAAAGATACATTGTAAGAAGGGAATCGACAATGCCATCATCAGCACTACTCGTTTATTAGCTCTCAATGAAACTCTACCCTTATATCCAACAAATGTTGCGAAAATCAAGATCCAAACATTATCGGGAATTCGCCTTGCTCATACAATTGCAACTCACCAATGGGCCTTGGGGAAGTCATCCTCTCCAATCTGCAATTGTGGACTAATTCTCATTATAAAGCACATTCTCCGTGACTGCCTCAACTTTACCTTGGCTAGAAGTATTGCATTTGGAACGATTAACCCTATGGACATTCTACAATCAGCCACAGAGCAGAATATTAATTCAATATATTACTTTATCGAAACTACTAGGCTCAATATCTAATGCACTTTTATAAATTAGAGCCGATAGCCTCCCAAATATAAGGAAATCTGCACTTTATTTTTCTATAAATTGTTTACAGATAAGTAGATCATAGATCGCTCAATAAAGACGTAGGTTTACTAACAGCAACAACCTTGTAGCCTTCAAGAGATGTACGTTTATTCTAACGTTTCCCTTTCTAGGCTTTTCTTATAGTTTGATTTGTCCAACTCTTTAAAACTACACCGAAATCTACCTTAGAACCATACCACTTTCTGACGACATCTAGCCGTAGCTATAGTCTCATCGCAAATACACATATTAACTTGATTGATAATTATGAAAATTATGGGAGCCTCGATTCAATACATAAATATAACGCTAAGATTGACTTGCATCATTTTCAAAATAAATTTATTTACAATACCGGTAATAACCAAAGCTTCTATCTACCAAACGTTAGGAAATTTGAATTTTTCGACTATAAATTGTCTACACATAACTAAACATTTATGTTTTACCTATAATTATCATTATCTTCATTTCCTTCAAAAATAGACTGACTCCACATTCAAAATAAACGCCTCAAAAGTTTGACTGGAGGAAATGATTTATTTTTTGATGGCCACTAATCGATGCTTTCATATCTTGGCAATAAACGTATAATAAAGGATATTATTATTATTATTATTATTATTATTATTATTATTAATTTCGCCAGAGAAATAAATTCTAAGACTAAACTCTTAAAAGCACTAGCATCTAAGGTTATCGGCTTTTATTAAAAACTCTATCGCATTTGAGATTCGAACACCCACGACCATTGACTTGCTAGTCGAGATTGCTCGCCTTCGGCCACTCAGGCGGATATAATAATGGGTAACTAGATAAAGTTCTTTCATGTAGTAATTTTTAATTTCACGTCTTTCGTCAGCTCGGGTGTATGTTATGCTGTTTTCTGAAAAAAAAAACCTCGAAGCATGGTCAATAATAATGCTGGCATTCATTGCGCAATGAACAATCAACAACGAATGTGAGAACTTCGTCTGTTGGCGAGACCATTCCGTCCGAAACGGTTCTGGTCGCTGAGTATAATTTTCGTGAAAATCTTATGCACAGCGTCAAGTGAAAAAGTCAGTTTATTTCGGTTTACGGGTCAATGCAGTTTTACTGTTTCAAGCGCTTTTTTTCGCAAATTACATAGAAAAATTCTGATAGTCTGACAGTTGTTCAATTTTCTTTTTGTTTCTTTGCCTTTCTGCTATTCTTATCCGGTTTCCTTTGTTTCGAAGACGATCAAAATGAGTAGAATGCAAGTATAATTATGCAAATGATATCGCGAATCGCGAATCGCAAATCGAATGAGAATTTGTTTAACTTGTAAGCGCGGGTGCGGAGTGCACTGTTCAGTGATCAAGAGAGACTGTGTAGCAAGTTAAAGGATCAAAAGATAATGGAGCAAATGTGCAGAGTTGATATTATAAAACTAAATAGTATCAGTGCAACGAAAAATATATCACGACTTGTCAGAAAATCGAATGATAAGCTTTGAAACTTTTGTTAAAATACTTTCTATACACCCTAATACACGAGACAATCGATTAAATTGTTATATGTACGTGGTATGCTATGACGTTGATAAAGTAAGCGGCAATGACATTTAAATTTATTTTACTGTTTGAATATTTCATACTTTCATGAAAGTTAGTAAGGAGTTCCAACATCTAAACAGTATGACACTTCAATATAATGATCTGTGATCAACGCCAACAGCAATAGTAGAAGTATGTATGCAGTCTTCAAGTGAGACACAATGCTTGCTTGGTGTCTTATAATTTTTTTTTGTTTAATTTAGAAATATGTTTACAAACATTTTACTCTACTTTTTAGCAATATTTTTCTAAATTTGGTAAATTCTTTTTCATGAAATGTTGCTGTTCGCAGCAAATCGTGTAACCGTTAAAATTTGAATTATTTACAATTAAATTTGACGGACAAGGAACCGAAATGCAGTTATCTATAGGTATATTTGGTGCAGTTCTGTCGTGTATATTATTGTATTGCAAAAAAACTGTACGAACGCCTCGAGAGTTCAAAACGACTTTAAAAGTCCATAATGGTATCGGTATCATGCTGCCCTTTAAGTACATCGCTACGTATTGATTAGATGAGTTGGGCAGCTCTAAAACGAAACTTAAGGCACCATTACACACTTTGGCGGGTGTATTGATGGGATTACGAGCCCACTCCTCAAGAATATTCCAATTGCCGTCGTTGATGCTATGAAATTGTGGGATGGCATTAATCAATTTAAACGTGGCACTCATCATATTATTGGTCATGAAATCTGCTACCGGTGTTAAATGCCCACGATCAATTCGCCGCCCTTGCTCGTTATAGGACATAAACGGCTGTTCCGCACCCAACAGTTCGCAGAAGCGTGCATAAATATCACGTTTATTGTACGCCGAAAAGAAATTCAATGTAAAAATGTTATCTGGATTAAACAATAGTTTGTCCGGTCGGCGCATAACTTCAACAAAAAACAAATCATATAAGAAGGGCTTGAATATTTATTTCAACAATCACTTACCATACGGATAAGCTTCATTTGCCGTATATACAGTTCGCATGCGTTCATGATCGAAGCACGTACGATATGCTGTTACAAAATAATTATCGTTATTACAAGAGAATTCGAAACCCACGCAATACGCTTTATATGGACAATAAAAATGATGCGTTTCTTGTAATTGCGGTTTTAAGGGATTAGAGCAATGCGGGAGAGGTAATGGAATATTGAATTTGCCGTTCGTACATAATAGTTGCGTTACATCTGACGAATTGCATATCATATGCAACACGGATCCATCGGCTACAGAATTTTCTCTTAACAAGCCTAACGTGCCATTCGCCTCTTCTTGTAATATCAAGCGCCACTCGCTACGGATTTCGTGTTCCTTAAATTGGCACGACGTTAGCTCACCATTGTCTGAATATCGAAATGAATGTTTACTTATCGTCCTCATTCTCTAAAGGCATATTTTTTTGCTTACTTTGTGTTGTTAGAAGTAAAATTATTGAAAATAGGAATGTCATGAATTGCATTGTTGTTAAAAAATACGTCTTCTTATAAAAGCAAATTGCCTTTAAAAATTCACATTTTTAAAAATTTTAATTAATTCTTTTGAACTAACAGCAACAATCAATTTTTAATTTTAAATATAATTCAAATATTTTATAAATAATTTTTTATTTTGAAGTCTAGCGATTGATTTTCATTTACTAATTGACTAAGAGTTGCTATACTCCTACACTTTACACTACTTACCACAAGGGTATATTCATTTTGTGACGGTCTATGCAGTGCGTACAGGGAGTTCAAATAAATGTAGGCACATTTTCTGAATCGAAATAATCTCGTCGGTCCGTCGGTCCGTCGGTCTTCTTGATCTCCCTCCATGTATTTTTTTTTTTTTTTTTTGCATTTAGTCGGCAGATTGTAAAGTGTTTAAAGTGTTCCGACAAAATATTGTATACTTAAGTGTTTCGGTTCGTTTGGGCGAACTTTACTGGGAAAGAATTGAATCGAACGATTGTTACGGTCAAAATGAAGCAATCGTTTGAAAAGCATTTTCGATTTTTAACATTTCTTCACAATAATCGATAAATAATAATAACTTAGCAAACGAAGTGAATGTTAAAAATATGGAGGGTATGGAGGATCAATTTTGAAATTTGCTTCGGGGCAATATCCAACCTTTAGGGTTTTGTGATGAAAATCGATAAAAAAAAATAATGATTTAAAATACAAGTTTATTGTATTACTTTTGGATGCATAGATCTATTTTATGGGCCATTCCATAGATGAATAAAAGTCTTTTATAACAACAACGTATAATTTTGTATGTGTAGCGATATAAACTATTCATTAGTCGGCATTGCCTAAGCAATTGTCAGCGAACACTGTTTTCAGTTCGGTGCAGTTGTTTACTTGATTCGACTTTAGATGATCTGCAATATCTGCCCTTTGCGTCAAATGTAACAAAAGATGATATCCGATATGTTTAGTGCCTAAAATTGCCTACAAATCTATAATGTTTTACTTCAATCTGCGTAAGCAGATTAGAAGTCTTTTAAAAAACATCTATTTAATCACTTATCGCGGTACGCTTATGCCTACAATAACCATAAGTTGATGTGCGAATAAGAAAAGTTTCCGAATTTGAATTTTAATACAACATTTCCGTTCTTTGCCTGTATTGTATTTATTTGAACAGTTTAATAAGTTGAAACGGGAAGAGAGTTCCAAAGAAATAAAAACAAATGTCGGATTGCAGAAAAGCTGAAGGAACGGAGGCCTATTGGAACGATCTTATACATAATTGATGCGTTTATGGTGTAAAGTTATCAAGAAAGCCAACAAATGTCGCTGAATTATTCTTTAGGTGACAGAGTTATCTTATTCCGAGAGTATTTTAAAAAATTTGTGAGAATAAAAAAATCGAAGATCGGACTACAAATTTTTTCATTTCATTTCTTTATTGGTCCATTGTAAGCTGAGACTTGTGATAAGCTGCATGCAGTTTTCGACGAAAATAGTTGGTAAAGGTATAAGAGAAGCAGAGTTGCCGAGCTACAATAATTTAGGACATATAGCAGGCAACGTACACTTCTCCTTACACTTCTTTAGGAAACATGCTACGCTTTTCGTCGGTCCACTATCCTGTATCTTGAAAAAGCCTAAAGATAGTGAGATTCAGAGAATTTGTGATTTAATGTAAGTCCTATGTACATTTGCGAGCAGCGAAAATCGTGACCCATTTTGCACTCACACTCTTTACTGTTCAGGTGGACTGCTGGGCTGTATAGTACACGAGTCAATTATTCCGTGTTGAACTAGTTTATATAAACAAAGCTGGCCCAGCCAATCTTTGCATTTCCGAGTTAACCAAAGAGAATACTTTGCTTTCTTTCAACGCGACTAAAATAGCGGGAAACAATTATTTTGAAATGTAAAGATTAATGAATAACACTAACCAGTTAAAGTTGCTTACTACTATACAACTATAATGAGATCACTAGATAAATCCGTTGATGCCATAGATGAGTTAGGATAAGTGAACAACAAATTTTGTCGTTGATTTATTGAAATACCCTGCAAAAGTTGTTATAACTGAAGCTGCGAACGTGCTCGCGTACATTCAAATTTGGAAAGATCTGTCCATGAAACTTGTGCCACGATGCCTGCATTATTCATACTCTGTTCACCAAATTGTCAACGTTTGTCAACCTGTCAGCAAGTAAATAATTCTTTTATACATTTATTTCACTTTGAAAGTCGTCGAGCGAAGCCACGGCCTTGAAAAAAGTTTCATTCATTCACTTTTATGCAGACTTAGGGTATGTTGCCTGCACTTGTGCAAACCTTGTACGTAGAGGATGGTGGGGAAACAGTGGGGAAACAGTGTTTGTGTACGTTTGGCCTGAAAATAAAAAGCGGGAAGTTTGAAAGTTGCGAGTATTTCTGTTATGCAGTTAAATGGAGGCCTTGATTGATGGACAAAACTCTTATACTCGACCTGTCTGTATATAGGGGAAACAAAACGCGCATTAGACTGATGTTCGGGGTGTTGCATAGACGTTCATCTTTTCTGAGCAACTGGGTTCTGCGATTCAGTCGACTGAATTTCTGCAGACACAATCTGGAAATCTTATTTTAACCGAACATAGATGCTCCAGATAGTGCGATTATTGGCCGCAGAGAAGTGCTTTTTGCGTCATTTTCCCTTTTCCCCATTTGGAAACTTCATACTGCGAGACCTGTTCCTAAAAGGGAAAGAATGAAACATCATGAAGGCATTCAGGGTCACGAATCTTACTTTCGCCAAAATGACAAATACTTCAATTCCTCCTTTGTTGGTTATTGGACTCCTCACGTCTTATTAAGTATTAATCGATAATTATTTTTATGATGTCGGCTACCGCGGAACAGACTGATATTTGGCGTTAATTCGTGGGATTGGTGTAGTCGGTCGTCAACGAGATAACACTTAAATGTTGTGGACCGTGGCCTAACAAATGCCATTCGCCACGATGTCACATCATCACAGAGTCTTGCGGGTATAGAGGATCTTTCCTGCCTTCGAGAGAATAAGGATGGCATTAAGCACGCTACTCTGTCAAGTGCGGCCATTAGGGTGCTCGCTATATAGTTAGTAGGAGTTTAAACTGAGTTAGTTAGCCAACAGATTAGCCTTATTAACGGGCTTAAATACTGTTTGGTGCTGCTTGAGAGGAATCAAAATTAATATCATAGAAAAATGCCAATAAACCTATGTTTTATTTTTTCGAAGCTTAGCTAAGGTCCTCGAAGTTATTAAATAATACCTAATAGCACAGGTTTCACATAAATTTAACAATAACTGTCATAATTGACTTTTGGTTTTTTTTTTTTTTTTAATCAGCAAAGTAAATGGGGTTGGCTGCCGTTTAGCTCATATTATATGTGCATGTGTACGCACTTGCGTACGCATCTATTAAGTGCTCTAAAATATATGAAGTGTAACGCTAATCACATTGTATATAAATATGAATAAACTGAATGAAACGAATATAAGAATATGAACTTTCTCGTAGGTTACGTAATATTAAATATTCTATTATATTATGTTTTGTAACCTAATTTTTTACATTTAATGAAAATTATAAAAGGTTTCTCTACTCAAACTCTAATCTGAATACATACATAAAAGACCAAATAAACCATATATGTAAGCTTGATTGGCCTTTTCATACTGAGTTTATAGTTTATGCCTAAATTGAAAATGACGTTAGAAGAAATATTGAACGGAAGTTTCAAGCGAAAAAAAAAATTTTTTTTTAAAATAAAATCAAGTAAGTACACCTTAAAACGAATGTTGGATACTCGCTGTCATAAGATTTACGCATGAGAACCATTAAGCCGTGTTTGCAGCAAGTTGTACTGAGTACAATTTAAAATTTAGGTTTATTTTTTAGATTTATTCGAGTTTTCGTTTATAATATATTTATTTATAGTATAATTTTTATTTTTTGTAATCGAGGTTATAAAGTAGATTTAGCTTAGCTTTAGGCTTGATCTCAACGAATTATGTACAATTATGTACGAGAACGTTTTCTTTTCGGCCTTAATTCTTACCGTGAAGGGTAGTGTAATGGAAAGGGAACTGAGTGGACAGACGAATGTCTAACATATATGCATATATTTCTGCACATATATGCATAAGCTATGTATACAAGTTTTCCAATGTCTTTATTTAGATTAACAACCGATCGAGAAACGCTACAGTATCATAAGGTTTAGAGGAAAGCGAGAAGGAAAGCGAGAGCATAGGGTGCAGCTATGTAAACTTCAAATCAATTCTTAAAACTTATTAAAATAATTTTTTATGTAACAGCATACAATAAACCAGATAATGGTCTAAACGAATTGTTTTAAACACACATTATATAAATACTCACACATCAAGGACAAACAAGAGTTAAGCACAAAAACAAAAAACTTATCTAAAGAATTTTAAGGCATACAGTGTTAACCAACGAGTAAAATCAACCGTACATAAATATTAATTCAGACATACTTTCCTTTTACTAGGCGGTGTGAGTGTATATACGTTTGAATTCATAAGGTGTGACGTTCGCTCCAGAGCAAGTCTATGATGACTAACACTCTAATATTCTAACACTAATAGCAATAATAATGTAAAATTTGAAAACTTCGAACGTGTTTAATAAATTCTATTGAAATAAAGTTAACGCATTAATAATGATTATTAAAAATTAGTTAATCATACGTATCGATATTTTATGGCAATTATAATGAATAAAAAAATGATGGGAAAACAAAATAAATAAAAACGAAACAATTCGATTTAGACCGACTCGTTGACACCCATCCCTTTGCTGATGCCTTTTTTCTTTACATTAAGAGTAAGGTACTATGTATAAGTAAATGTGGTATTACGTGATAACAGCATGCTTAAGTGAT